AATTTACTTGTTTACTTAACACACACATTCATATCCTTTGTCACATCCAATGAAATCATTGTTGTTTTGGGCAGAGAAATCTTTTTTTTTTTTTAATCAACATTTTATAGTACCAGAATATAAAGATGGAGCTGCTTCTGTTAAACAAGGTCTTAAACTGGTGGCCCCAGATATAATAATACCATATTGCTCTAGACATCTAGAAATTTCTAAAATTTCTTTAGTGATATTCATTCTTCTTCACAAGCAGGACTGTGATCCAGTCTCTCCTAGAGAAGTGTCTCTCACCCTGTGAGTTCTTATGCAGGATGTCGAAGGACTCTCTGACCTTGGACAGGAAACAAGTCCCATAATTGGGGTGGCGGGGAAGGCTGGGGGCAAAAATACCTAGACAGACCATATTAGGTGCAAGGCACAACTGGGACCAATAAGACCTGGCCTCCTTGTGGTGGGGAAGGTCAGCTCCCATCACCTGCCTTCAGGCAACACAGACCTGACATGGAACCAGCACCCATGTGTTCCTGTGCACCCACAACGTGTCATTTAAGCATGTACCACTGGAGGAGAAGCACACTGAACCCTTGATATCTTAATGTTTACTTTAACAGTGGCTCATGGCTGTGAACAGAGGGAGGGCAGCTATGACACAAGCACCCAAGGCTTGGCAAGAGGCCAAGACACTTACCAAAGGGAGAAGGATCATGACTAGAGAAGGATCCAGTCACACTTGGTTCACTTCAAAATCTTGCCCTTGTCTTGCTCTTTGATCCAAATCACCTTTCTCATGAGAAGCAAAACATCGTGAGAATTTTTTTTTTTTGCATGTAGGAAAGTTAAAATTATTTTAAATAAAATAATTTTAAATTAAAAAAAATTATTTTAAATTCTCCTAGAACACTCGAGGATTGGCATTGAATAGATTGGAGGCAGATTTTCCAATGCCCAAAGCAATAATCCTTTGATGATTTTTCCTGTAGTTTCAAAAACTACCCTGTAGGTGTTTACCCCAGTGTAAAGCCTCCCTCCAAAAGGTTATATTGTTGATAAGGGGATATAGTGTTACTTATTACTTTGGTATCTTTCATAATTTTGCTTATTTTTCTATCAGCTGTTTTATAAAGTTGTGTCTGCTGTTTTTCTTTCTGCACACTTCCTCTGTATTTTGTGCCTTTCAGAAGACAAGAATACTTATAGATCCCAGAATTTGGCAATGTATTGCAAATATATGATGTACGTTCTCCTAATTGTATTCAGGGGCGTCTATTTCTCATCTCAGCATATGTCACTAAAAGAATGTGTGCAAAATTTTATCTATTAATTTTAAAGAAAAACTTGTAAATCATTTATGATTGCTCTAATGAAGATAAAATGAATGAAGCCCATTTTATTGTTAGCTTGTGAAGCTTATATATTCCATTATAAAACGGGCACGGATATCCCTCGAGATATGCAGGGGGCAAAGTTTGTGATCAGGTTTAGAACAGATCAGGGTCAAGAATGGTGGTGCATGATTTTTCTAGACCAAGTCCATCAGATAATTTAGAATCACTCCAGTAAGGAATTGAAGCTGTATTTTTTACTAAACCTTCCATCAGAAAACGTTTCTACTTCATGTTTTGGGTCAGAATGTGGATTGTCTCATCTGGTTTAAAGCAGATCAGTGTTAAATAAGTTCATGAGGAAGGAAGAGTCACCATATAGCTGCAATGCCTCTTCTTTCCAAGAAGAGAAGTTGGAAAGTGGGAGGACTCTTTTTGCTCTAATCAGGGAATAAATATCTAAACATGGAGGGACATAGGCATGATCATCCTTTGTACAATTTAATTAGGAGACTGGAATTTAAGTTTGTGCAGTTGATAGGAAAATAATTCCAAGTGCTAAAAGCTCATTATCTTTTAATAAAGTTTTGACCTTGCATTTATCCCAAGAACCCCTGTGTCATTAGGGTCAAAATGAAAAGTTCTCATCATTTAGCTGAAGATGAAAGAAGAAATCTGTGAGACCAAGAAGATACTCTACAAGAGCTTGTTTAGACAGAGGATGGTAGAGCTGTGGTGAACGGTGGATAGTTAAGTAAATCTCAAATAGGCAAATGACTCAGCTAATTCTTGTTCCTGATGCAAGGATTTAATTCATTTTCAGTTACTATGATAAAGTACCTGAAATTAGATACTTTATAAATAAAAGGCTTGATTAGCTCACAGTTTGGAGGCTTAAAGTCCAATAAGGGGCAGCCCATCAGTTCAGCTCCTGTGAGGAACTCTTGGTGGATGGCACGATAGTGAGAATAGAATGTGTGGGAGGAAGAGATCATATGGGAGGAATGGAAGACAGATAGATTCAGGGACTAAGCTTGATCTATTTTTTTTAACTGGCAATTGCAGGAACTAACCAGGGTCCAGAGAGCATTTAATCCCTTCTGAGGATGGCTCCCTGAATGACTAATTACCTTGCACTAGACCCCACCTCTACAAGATTCCACCACTCCTCAACATCACCACACTGGGGACCAAGCTTCTAGCACATGAAACTCCTGGGAACACACTCCAATCATCTCTAAATCAAAAAAGAAGACATGATTTCAAAACAAAGAAGAATATTGATCTATGAAATGTTATAAAGCCTTACAATCAGTCTTCTTAGTAGGAAACATTCTATCAAAACTGTCTAGAGGATCATTTTAGGAAGATTTTGAAAATTTACATCATTACTTAGGTCTGAGTTCAACAGAAATAGACATAATGCAAGTGCTGGATCCCATATTTTAAGTAATAAATTTGTCATTATGTGACTGTCAGGAACATTTTTCCTTGTTCTTTGAATCATTTGACATTAACAATTGAACTTTAGTTTGAGGGCGGAGCAAATCCGAGAGAAGAGGCTTCCAAGCGACATCTAGCCATTTACAGCATTTACTGCAAGAAAGATCTAGGAGTTGCATGCACTGATGCAACTAAGAATTGTAACCCAAGGAAAACTCTATACTTGATAATACAATCACAACTAGTCTACTGCCTTACAATTGCACCCAGGTCCAAACAAGAAATGTCATGCATTTCAAATAAAAAAATTCAAACGGCACTGAGCTTGTAATGTATATTTTATTTTGCACAAGCTTGCATATATACTGCACATACATTCAGTTTAAGAGAAGATGGAAGGCACACAAGGCAATTGGACTACTGTATCCTTTAAGTGGTACAAAGCAAAAGGTAAAAGTTTGGAGAGAATACAAAAGCTTAAAACACACAAAGTAAAACCCCCTCCCTCCCTCCCTCCCTCCCCACAACAACTTAATTTTTTTTCCTGTTTTAAAATTTAGTAGCTGCCAAACTAAATTTTTTACTTTTACTTTAAAATCAATTGTCTACTGCACCTTTTAATTTTCTTTTTAATATGGACAGGGAGTCTCATTGTTTTATCATATCAATTAATATTACAGTACATCCTTGGTAATACAAAATTGTACACCTTCATCAAATAAATTAGGATAAATTAAACCAATAAATTATGCAAAGTCTTCAGAACAATAGACAATAACAAAAATCCACAATTGAAATTGCCTCTAGCTAAAAAAAAAAATCAAAAATTGACTTTATCAGTTCTGTTATTGTACTATATTCAAATCAAAGGGTCTTTATTACAAAAAAAAAGAGCTTCATAATGCTATTTACAACATATTGCTAAATAATATAAAGGCAGTGTTTTGTCACGGTTTATACTATATACATATGAGAATGGCTGGGACAATATTGGGGGAAGCCATGACCTTTGATTCTTCTAGGTAGTGCTGAGACCAACCCCAAATACATTTTTTTTGTTTGTTTCTAGTTCTAAATTTAAAGTGGTAATATACAATTTTGAATTTTTATCCCCCTATATAGAGGACTTGAATATTTAAAAAATACAGAATGAATCCATCTTCCCCAAGGAAGTCTAGCCCATTTGCCTTTCTGCTCATGTTTGTGCATTTTAGGGGGTGTCTGATTTAAGAGAGGGCTCAGTTGAAAAGACTCAAAGTCCAGACGCTTCCACATTCTGTTATATTCTTAAGAAGGATAATTATAAGAAGATGCAAAGCTTAAATACCAGTTTTGATCCCAGCTCGGAATATGAGCATTTTAGCTTGAGTTTTATAGATGGTTCATAACCAACAGATCTACAGAAAACAAAACTGCATTTCCTTCAACATAACATTTAAGTGCAAAACAGTAACTGCTTACTCATATCAACCAGTTACATTTTTTTTTAAAGGGGAGCTTTTTGAAAACAATGCTTCTTGTAATTTGCAAACACAGAGTTTGTACCAGAAGGAAACATTTGTACTATTCACACCAATGAATACTCTATAATATACATGGCAAAGAGGTTTTGCACTGTCCTCACATATACACTGCTTTTTTCAAGGGGAGTCTGTAAACCACTTTGTCTTTGATGAATTGATGACTGATTCTAGGGCGACATCCTGTTTTTGAAAGCCCCCAAATCTTTAGCTTTATGACTCAATATTCACCTGCATGTGT